AACAAAAAAAAGGTGAAACATTTGGCCGAAAAGAAGAGAGGAGAGATATCACTGGTTATGCACATAAAAGATACTAAAAGGATCATATTGTTGGAAAATTAATCTGCGGCAAAGAAAAATATATATAGATAATTAGACAAAGTTGCCTATTTCAAAGAATTTTTCATTGGATCAGCTCTACTCCAGAGAAAATGATTAAAGGACTGGTAATAGGACAATAAGTGAGTCAAAATTTCAGAAAAGAAGTGTGCGGAAATAGCTAGTTCTTTTAAATTATTTACCTCAAAGAGAAGTTAATATGACACAAGTTTCACAGCCTTGCTTGCCATGTTAAGAAAATACTCACAAAAAATATATATATATATAGTGAAAGGTAAGCAAAATAGCTAGAAAGAAGAAACCCAATACATTTTGTGCTGACCATCATGCTCTTCATGTAACTGCTGCTGAGTAAGTGAAATATCAAAACCCTGTTTTGGGAGACTGAAGAGTTCACGAAGATCCTGAAGAAGCATTTCAAATTTAATGCAGCATATGTCACCAAAGTATTTTGGCTTTGAAAATGTAAAATATATATATATATATTAGTTTCAAATTTCTAGGGCATACCTGTTGGCTAAAGTACCGAATCTGTTCTTTGTGCTCAGTGGCAGTCTTAAACAATCCACCTTTGAATACCTACACCAAAACATTTTTAACCATGGAGTCAAAAAGAAGCCTGCAGTCGACCTGTCGGGGGGGAAAAAAGGGGAACTAGCAGCCTGCAACTAGAAAGTCAGAAATATGGGCTCATATATTTGATTCAAGGACGTAGCTTTGAACATACCAACTAGAGTACTAGACTACAACAACAAAAACTTGAAGCAATGTGAAGAAACCATGGGTAACTAGCCAAGCAAACAGCTCTTTTTGTATCTCATAATTTACAAAAATGTATCACTTTTATAATCTATCTTCCATGGTGAGAATCAAAAATGCAGGGAAAAGGAAATAACTCTTGTACCTGCTTTCTGTAAATCTTTTCTTCAACAGTTCCACATGTCATCAACCTGTACACAAGAACATCCTTCTTTTGCCCAATTCGGTATGCACGATCAACACTTTGGTTATCAGTACTGCAGAAGCATAATTGATCAAATGACAGAAATTAAACAGCCTCTTTACAGACATAACAACTTAAGCAAGAGGGACTCATAATGATACATCAAATGAAAACAGTTAATTTCTTTGTTCAACTTATTAAAACAGGATGAAGAAGACAATACTACAGAATGAGTAACACAAAACTTGACCTGGATTCCAAACCAGGAGAAAGAGCTTTGACAATGGTTAACTAACAGTTCTAGAACTTCCATTTCCAATTCTTCCTTAGATTCTTGATAAACCAATTTCATGAATTTTTAAAAATCACTTACAACATTCTATGCAAAAGTTTAAAATGATTAGTGATTTGGCAATTACTCCATGCTTTTAGTAAATTTGTTAATTCTTTTTTTTTTTTTAATTAAATAAAACATATTGGTTCAAAAAACAATTAAAGAAAACATATAGTGATAGTTTTATTTTTTGGATACTGAAAGTCTGAAACAGAAGAAATGAAGAATGTGTCGAAGCACCTAGGGTTCCAAGCAGGATCGACCACAATTACACGATCTGCCCTTGTAAGTGTGAGGCCAAGACCACCAACTAGGGATGTCAGAAGAAATATAGGAGCCCCAACACCTTCTTGAAAATCCTGAAAAAAAGGAAAAAAGTCAGTGATAAAAACAACATGAGCACCCATCAAAAGCAAAATTATTAGAGACAATAATTCTGTTATGTACTTACATTGACAATCTTTACTCTGTCACTTGCTTTTGTAGTACCATCAATCCGTAAAAACTGGTAGCCATTGCACACAAGAGATTCCTACACACAACAAAAAGTCCTCGTCAATTCCCTTTGATGGAAGAGGTTAAGATAGAGCAAATTCCAGGACAAAGCAAAAACATAAGAAAAAGAAGAATTGCATGGTTAATAATTCCTTCTGGTCTTGGTTTTTGACAATTAAGCAACGGATATTCAAAACTAGGAAGAATTGTAGTAACCTTGAATAAGCAGTTCCATCATTAGAATGTAATACAACCAAAGATAGACGTGTACCACACTGAAGAACCATTCTTTAGTAAACTAATTACCACACAATCTTACTTTCAGAAAGATAGCATTTTATAGAATCCAAAACTAATCTCGAAGAAGACCCCATAATGATTTAAATGTGAGATTTCTATCTTAAAGTTCTCAATAGCATAGGAAACATTTGTTAGATAGATGAAGGCAATCCCTGTTGTCCACATGTTATGCACCAAAAACAAAAGGACTATTGAATTAAGTGTCAAGACTTGCATAGATATTTGATGCATGGAGACAGATATTTGGTGACAGGCAGCACGTGTTTGACACATGGACACAGACATTTAGTGAAAAGCAGTTATCCTAAAGCAAGTCAATGCCACTGAATATTCTAATATTGGCAACTAATGTCTACCAATGACTGCAAGTCAGCAACCATTTGGTAAGAAAAGAAATCAAATTTAATGGAACCTAGATAAACCTAATGACCGGTGAGTCAGCTAGCATTATAAAAAGGCATGCTATACGGAAAATATTAATCTTCATAGTAACTACTGATTAATATTTTGCCAAGGCTCTTCTATCTAATCTGGCAAAATGGGCAAACGTTTCTGTATTTGAAAAAGAAACTAATTTGTAATGGAAGTCTCAGTGTCAACTAAAACCTTGTAAAAGCTTAATGAGAATTGCTCTGCTTTCAAAAAGGGAAAAAAAATTGATAAAGGTAAAGGTAAAAAATTGCAGCACATTACAAACCTCAATAAGATTAAGCATTTTACGAGTTTGAGAAAAGATAAGAACACGATGCCCCTCTGGAACTATATTTTCCTGAGAAATAGCATCAAAGAACATTAGCTTGGAAATAACATAATTACACCATTAACATCAATCTCTGAACATGAGGAATTTCTAACCAATAGCGAAAGTATAAAAGATATTTTGCATGAGATATTGTCATGATATTCTTGGAAGTCATCCGTTTCAGCAACATCAGCAACATGCTTTGCTAATTTTTCTGCCACACTGACATCTTCAGTATTCAACATGGAATCCATGCCTTCCAATACATCTTCAGCAGCTCTCTTGGTCAAGAGAAGGGGGTGATCACATATTTTCTTCAGAATCTGCAAAAAGGCAATCCATAATTCTTTACAACTTATAAAAAGATAAAAAGAAAGAAAAAATAACAATAATGCAAAGTAACTTCATGAATAAACTCTTCCATGAAAAAATATAATAAAATCATGAAAGAGCTGAGATAATCAATATTTAAAAAAAAAAAAAAAAAAAAAAAAATCAAGCTAATGAGCAACACCCTGCAATAAAATCATTCAAAATATATATACATGTAAAGAAAAAAAAATTGGAAACAGCTTGTTAAATTACACTAACTCAAGGAGTTAACTCAAAAGGCAACTGAAACGTATTACTTCTTATTCAAAGAAATATAAATTTTTTTGTACCTCTCAAGCATATACAAAAACACAATACAGGAAAAAAAAAAATTAATAGGTTTGAAGGATTCACATTTATGAATCCCTCAGTCTCACATGCAGATCCACAATGAAATTTGAAAACAAAAGTTGACATTCCAAACTTCCTCTAACAAGATGACAGACAACTCAGGAAGTATAAGCAGTCATTCAAAGTTTGTAAAACTCAGAACAGTAATTAGTAGTGAACAGAAAATAGAAATAAATAAACACAAACAAGAAGCTTAAAACCTAAAAACAGCAGGGCCAAAATTGCAACAGTTTTCAGTTAGTACCGTGAGTGCAGCCAGTGGTGAGCCATCAAAAGCTGACAGAACAATCTCACTGCTCAAAAAAGCTTCATACAGTCGTCGCTAAGAAAAAGAGAAAGGATTCACTGTAACTCACCAAACAATTTAAACAAATCACAAAGGGACAAAATTAAAAATAGAAAATTTAACAAATTCGAACCTGGCAACTAGTCAATCTTAACCACACAATAATCTCGTTCTTTTTGGAAAGTTTGCTGGTTGTGGCATCATCTTCACAAAATACTTCATTCTTCAGGCGACGCAAAAAGTAGGGCTGAATACGTACTCTTAGCTCCTGTTAAAAATTAAAGCAGCAAAAATCAACAAATTCTTAATTCTTTGTAAACCTATTGGTGGATGAAATATTAGAAGATGACTAGCTATGGCATGTACAAATTGCAACTTGATGTTTTTTAATGAATACAAGGGAATATAAAAAAGATGTGCAAAGGGGAAATTTGGCTTTAATCATTAATGGTAACACCAGTTCTATCATAAAAATAAAAAAAGAGAGAAGTTAGGAGAAATTAAGTTCATATAGAAAACCTTCAATAAGGCAATAAATTGTAGAATATTACCTTTGCAACTGTTGAACTAACACGCTTTTCCCTATCAGATGCATTTTTGTCATTTCCCCGCAAAATAGGATTCTCATACTTGTCCTTAAACCTGATAAAATTAGATCTTCAATCAGAAAAATCCTAAAAAAAAAAATTAAGTCCACAAGAGCATGAGAATAAGTACCATTTGTTATCGCCCAGAAGCTCAGGGCAACAGAAGTTGAACAAGGCCCATAGTTCCTATTTTAAATTAGTAAAAGAACATATAAAAAGCATTGTAACATATGCCTACAGTTTGATTTAAACGTCAAAACAACTGGATTTATATTGGTGGATTAGAAAAGAAAATGAACAAATACTGACAAAGATACCTTAAGATTATTCTGAATTGGTGTGCCACTTATGACTATACGATGAACACTTGGTATCTCAAACAAACTTTTGGCCCTCTGTGTGCTGGGATTTTTAATGAGATGACCCTAGAATAATGAAGAAATACACATACATTAACCTTGACGTAGACAACTGTCACAACTCAATGTCAAGCATTATAGATATTGGGCAAGAAATAAGCAGTGCTGTTAAAGGCAAAAAGCAAGGCAAAGTGATGGCCTAAAAAATGCTGAAGCAATGAAGCAAGAAGCAAAGCGATGAAGCGAAAAGTGAAGCGAAGCGAAGCAAGATGTGAAGCGATTGCTTCTTTGAAGTGAAGCGAGTGACACTTTGAAGTGATCAATTATTAAACAGAATAAAACTAATTAGAATAGAAACTTAGAGCATTAAGAGTGGAAAAGTAGAATAGGGTGCAAATATCAGGTATAAATTAAATTCTACTTTACTTAGTGCAAGTAGAACTAAATTCTGTTTTGGAATTAAAATTCAGGAGTCTTATAAAGTGAAAAACTGACTATTTCAATCTATACTATACAGATGATATTAAGTTTCTTAATCAAGGTCCCCTAGACTAGATAGAGCTGAATACTATAAGTTTACCGACAAGAAATAGAACTGAAAGATAAAGTAGGGATAAAGAAGAAATGCATGGAATTAAGACAATACTAGAGAACTTTGTTAATATTTACATGAAACTTTATCTTAACTAAATTAAGATAATCTGCTGATAGAAAAAAAGTAAAAAAGAAATAAAGAAAGAAAGAAAGAAGAG